AGAGCTTGGGTTATATGGAGAGGAGGAGGCCCCACATCATCCTGGGCATGACCTAAAACTGCACCCTGCCAGGGTAGGGAGGCCTGGGTGGGACTGCCAGTGTTGCAGCAGCCCCAGGAACTGCCAGGACCATGAAGCGCCCTAGTGAAAGGCGGGTAGTAGGAGCAGGAGGCACCTGATAACTTTCAGCCACTGCACAGTTCTGGCTGGGGAAAGCCCAGACCTATAAGACCTTTGAGAGACCTGAGGCTTATTGGTTGCAGTGGAGCTGTAAGGGTGAGAACAGGGGATCAATGCAGTTTTCACCCCGCTGTGCTTTAACACTAGGCCTGTGCGAGTCGGCAGCAATCCAATCTGGCTGCTTTGGATGCCAGGGATCCAATATGGAGATCCAGACCAGGTTTTTGCTTCGGTCCGGCTGAAGTGGCTCCGAAGCTTTGGAGCCGCCTCGGAGATCTGGCCATAGGGTATAATGTGGAAATCAATGAAATATCTATAACTTTGTTGTTTTTTGTCTGATTCAGATGAAATTTGCAGGGATTATAGTCTCTGCTGAAGGCATGAAGCCTGCCAAGTTTCAAGGGGTTTGGGGAGAATTGCACCCCAATTCTTAAAAGCAAAACTCATATCACATATATGTGTTACATCACAGGGGGGTGAAAACTGCAGGGGTGGTGGCTCCTGGTGAGGCCACAAAACCTGCCAAGTTTCAAGATCAGTGCAGGGATTTAGGGGGAACTGCACCCCAAGCTGCTGACAGGCAAAACTCATGATACTAATGACCCTGTGGGTATTAAGGCACAGTGGGCTGAAAACTGAATGGGTGGTAGCTCTTACTGAGGCCACAAAGCCTGCCAGCTGTTGAGGAGATAGGTGGAGGGGTTCTGGCTTCTGGGGCCCTGCACCTCTAGCTGCTGACAGACAAAAATCGTGCCATGGGTGCTTGTGCCACTGACCGTCTCTGTCTTCGGGTTTTGAGAGACACTACTTCAGGGAGACACTGCCTGCTAAGCTACTGTGTTACCAGTTACCAATGAATCATGATTCACTCAGGGACTAGCTCAGTACACAGTACCTAGCTAATGTAACCAGTTAATTACCCTCAATTAACCTCTACAAAAGCAGAGACTAAGGAGAGGAACTAATCAATAGAGACAATCAACTGCCAGCGCTTCTATCCAGGCATGCTGCTTCAGATGCCGAAGCATCCGAAGCTTCTCTGGATCTGAAGCCTCACACAGCCCTACTTAACACACACACACACACACACACACACACACATCACAAGTTTTGCTTATCAGCAGCTTGAGGTGCAGTTTCCCAGAAACCCCTGCACCTATCTCTTTGAAACATGGCAGGCCTCATGCCCTCAGAAGGTGATACCACCTCTGCTGTTCTCATCTAAATCTGCCAAAAAATGACAGCGTTATAGGTATTTCAGTGATTCTCTATTATAGTCTATGGCTGAGTAACCGAAACTCTCTGAATCGGCGCCGAATCTTCTGAAGCCGATTTGGCTGAATCAATTAAGGACAGTGATCTGCATCTCCAAATTGAATCACTGTCCTTCAACTCGGCCGAATCTGAATCAAATACTTCCCTAGTCGCACAGGCCTATTTGTCACCAAAGAATAGCCCTGACTCCTGCCATCAATTCTCCTTCCAATCAAAAAAAACCTTGCGAGACCCTCAGTTGCATGGGACAAATAGAGAAACAATATGTGCATATTTTGTTTCTTCATCTTCAGTGGTAGGTGTTGAGAACTGCTGTTTCCTGAAACAGTTCATAAAAAGCCATCATGATTATCAGTCATTTCATATAACCATGGACAATAATGCAATCACCAGAGAAATGGCACTACAATTCCAATGAAGAAAGCAAGCCAGGTCAGTATTTTCAACTGGACAGAGAAATGCTTATCAAAATGGTATTTCAAAACACATACTTTTTGTACAGAAATTGATTGATATTTCTCATGTTTGGACAAACATCCAGAAACTGATTTTTTTTTTTAAACCAACTCTATTGATTGGGGCGGGTGTGGAATTGCTTTACTGAATTATTTTACTGAAATTACTGAAAAAGTCTACCAGCACTTTTTAAATGAGCACAACTGTTTTTTTTTTTCTTTATTAAGGAAATTAAAAAAAGAAGCATTTCCCCACAAATAAAGCTATCTTCTACACCCCTAGTTCAGTATATTGCACCATGCATGTTCCTTTCCTGTTCTCTCACTCCTTATTATCCAGAACAAGATGTTAAGTGACAGACACAATGCATGTAAAAAAAATGCAGTGGTGCAAACTCCATTTGAATAAGAGGAAAGTGTGCCACAATGTTTTCTGCATTATAGCATTCTACTTACTATCATCTTGACTTTCATGATGTGTAGAAGGCGACCCGAGTAGTTCTGTGAAGCAAGAACTGAGCATCTCTGAAATAGCAGTTAGGAAAGTAAGTCATTTCACAAAGACACTGACAATTCACTGCTTTAGGACAAAACCTTTAGGTTATAATGTTTGTGGATAGAAAGCACAGTTGGAATTACAGAACCTCTATCTCTGTCTTCCAGCTACAAATCCTGAATATCCTTGTATCTGGTGTATGGTTGTTTTACGTTGTGCATACATACCACCACACAATTTAATGGTCTTCACACTGCTATCTATACTGTGAGACCAAGATTACATTATAGGCATTTGGACTACAAAGATAAAATTAATGTGGTCTTTATTTGTAAGTAAATCGCAAGAGGTGGGAGAAATGATAAACTGAGAGGGAAGGCCTTATGTATTACTTCATTCCTGCCCATATGACATTACACTGTTTGACCCAATGAGCTGAGTTAATCAAGCAAATAATCAAATAAACACATACTGGATAGATTACAAAATAAATAACTGAAGGGTTTCCTCTTCTTTCCTTCCCCTTTAAACTATTTTCTTTCCAGTTTGAGAATGTGGCTTTATAAAAATTGGCTTTCCATGTTCAGTTTAGATTTTCACAGCGTTCTCTGCTATTTGCTTCCCATTCTTTTTCACTCCATTTTCCTTCTTTTTAAGAAATTATGTTCCCTTCTTTCTTAGTGTAAAATACAGAGACTTGGAAGGAGAGAATCCTAGCTATGACTTAGTGTTGTTAAAAAAAAGTTACTGGGGGAAGATTTCTTGTCTTTTTTTATTTTTCATCCCTGGCTTGGGGGTTGGGGGGAGGAGGGGGGAAGAATCCTTTCTAGATTCTTCTACACCGCGCTACATCAAACATCAATTATGCTTTGTAAGTCAGTTCTATGTAAGTTCATAACCTGAACATGATTCAAAACACTGTGATGATGTACACTGGCATACCTTTTATAAATTTTATGTTTTCCTCTTTGCTTCCAATGCAACTTCCCCATAAACCTGAAAAAGAGAGGGAAAAGCACATCAATGGAAACAAATGTCTCATCACCCACCAGTTCTATATAAAGCTGTTAGGATTGGGGGTGGGGGGACTGCATTCGTTGAAAGTTTCTGACTTTTCATCAGAAAAACATATTTGGCAAAAAAAGAAGCTTTTTTTGGTTTTCAGCAGTTTTGCATCAAAAATATGTTGGTTTTTTTTGGTTAGTTTTCTATTGGGAGGGAAAAAAAATTCCTTCTTAGATGAAAATTCTAATTCTCACTGTGCACATTGAAACAGAGAGAAAAGAATTCTTAAAATATGTTATTCAACCAGTTCTTGGTCATATTTAGGATATATTGGATTATGTATTCAGGGAGCAAACACAGGGCATACCACCTTACACCGGAGTAACTTACTGAAACCTGCATAGAATAGCCACTAGGAAAATCAGGGGTAAAATTACACCACTAGAATTTACATCAGTGAATGTGCCATAGTATCAGGGATGTGCGAATTAGGACCTAATCCATTTGGATTCAACTGAATCGAATCAGGGACAGTGATTAGATTAATTGATTCGAATCACTGTCCCTGAACTCAATTTAGCCAAATTTGAATCTGAAGATTCAATGCTGATTCACAGAACCAGTGATTTGGACAGACACTACTTTAAATGTTTGTACTATGTACCTCGAGGTACCAGCATGGCTTGTGAATGCTGCGATGCTGGGGCACATGGAACGTTCCGCAGGAGTGTGGTGGGGGGCCCTCAGTGTGCTTGGTGGTGAATCCGGAAGTGGGCTGGAAGTACTTCTGGTCTGCTTCTGGGTCCACCGGGGAGTGCACTGGGCCCCCTTGGCTCGGCAGTCAGCCATGAGGGGACCCCGGGTGGCACCCCAGACCCAGGAAGCACCAATCACCAAGCCAGGGGTGGTGTTGGGGGGGCCCCCCCGCACACTCCCCGGCAGACCCAGAAGTGGACTGAAAGTACTTCTGGTCCACTTCTGGGTCTGCTGCTGAACACACTGAGAAGCCCCCCACGCTTCTGTGGGACGGTCCGTGTGCCACACCATCTCAGCATTCATGAGCCACCTGCTATCTAGGAGGTATGTAGAAAAAAAGATTTAAAGCTTCTTCTCTTTCCGAATCCATTTGGAGGGTTCCAATTCAATTTGGAGAGATTAAAAGGTTCTCTGATTCAATTCAGATTTGGAGATTCAGGCACTGAATCAGGCTAAATCTCCACCGAATTGAATCAGGCCCTACATAGTACTTATTTACTCAAGTCAAACAAGTTCTTCCTGCTCCTCTACCATCCAAGGACAAGGCACCTTAAGACTTCCAACTGTGCCCAGTTAACCTAGGATTTCTCCAGGTCTGTGTGCTCCAGTTCCCAATGTTATTTATACCAGTGTAGAAAACTAATGCAAGTTAAACCATTCTAGATACATACATCCAGTCTTTTAAGATGAGTGAAGTTACATGTTACACTAGACCATATTAAATCTGAGGACTGTGGGGTCCTGGTAAAGTTAAAAAATGGTGTGAACAGTCACACATTAGGATTAATACCATTTTCTGTCTGTGCAATTCTTGCTTGCCACCAGAAGGCTGCTAAGCAGGGTGTTGTGCCTGGAAGTCAGGCCCCTGGGCTCTATCCCTGCTCTGTGCGGGGGCGGGGGGGGCTGAGAGTAGTGCATCCTGGGATCATGAAGGATTGCGATTTGCTCATTTCATCTCCATTTAGCAGACTGAAGTTACATTAACATGAGCTATGTAACCTGGCCCAGAGTTAACCCTCCCTTAAAGTGATATAACTCTGAGATGCTCAGAGGACACTTAGCATGAGTTAGAGCTTTAATATGCAGCCACTTGCATTTTAAGTGCCCTGAGTATGGTCCCAATGTAATGTGTAACTTTACCCTAAGAACAGGATTAATGGGAGCCAGTAAGCTGAGCAAGCAGTTATTTTAGCCAGACAGTACAGTTTACTGAGAAGAGAGCCAGGACCTAGCACCCATACATTGAATGGTTCTTAGCTGTCCATAGTGGTCATAATACTGATCGGTGAGGGGAGAGAAAAAGGAAATAGGGGCTACAAAACAACCTGTGCAACCAGGAGGGTCAGTAGGTTAATTGGACACACACCTCCCTGTTCAACACTGTGACATCACTCACACAGTATGTCAGAATTACGCAATTTACTTGCAATATATTTAGCCATACTGATTCCACTTACGAGTGTGTATATATATATTTTTCTCTATCACTTTCTCTCTACAAAAAATCTGGGTTGGACGTACTTACCTCGGTGGTAACTTATGTTCATTTCTTTTTTCTTTGTCTTTACCACCCCACCCTCGAACTCACTTCCAAAGTATTTGATATCTACAGAGGCTCTGTGGCCAAGAAAACTGGCTTCATGGGGTGTGAATTCAAACCAGGTGTCTGAAAAAAAAAATCAGGGGAGAACACAAAATTTGAAAAGATTTCAGGTGGGAGATGAATTACCACAAGATCTACTGGTATGTGGTAGAAAGTGTTCTGAACAGAATCCCATCTCCTGTCCTTTGCTGCCCCTGTTTCAATATTCAAGTCAGTTGTTAAGAAAATCCATCTGTAGCCATCCTGGACAACTGATTAATACATCTTCTGAAAAAACAAAGGCTTAGCTGAAGCTGCTGACCAAATAAAGCCACATTAGAGCCAGGGTGGATACACAGACAAACTTCAAGTAGCATATGTGTACGTTAGGCATCTGCAAAGTGGAAAGTATTCACTTTGGATTTGGAGGGACAGTGATTCAATACACCGTCCCGATTCGATTTGACTGAATTTGAATCTGAAGATGTTGAGCGCCAAATCATATTTGACCATAGACTATACAGGCTGGCAGGAACATCTGGGGGAGCAGCTGGATGAGCCCTGGCTTGAGCCGGCATCCCCAAGAGAAGCCACAGCTCTTCCGGCTGCTCCTCAACCAGGGCAAGGCAGGCAGTGCTGGCAGCCCCACAGGACACCCCCGGGGGCGGGGCCCCAAGAGAAGCCGCTGGGGCTGGGGGAATGATTGGGGAGCTGGGGGAATCAAGCCAAGAACTGAAGAATCAAACTGGGAGCTGGGGGGGAAGCCCCTGTTTGTTTCCTCAGCCCCCAATCATTTCCCCCCAGCTCCTGATTCAATTCCCCCAGCCCCCTTGACTTCTCTTGGGGCTGCCAGCCAGGGAAGCAGCCAGATGCTCCTCCCGGGGCTGCTGGCTAAAGCCGGGGTTTGTCCGGCTGCTCCCCCATCTGCTTCCACCAGCACTGCCTAGTGCCTGCCTGTAGAGTCTATGGCCGAATCTCCGAGTCTCTCCGAAACGATTCAGAGGCTTCTGATTCTATTTGGAGAGATTAATGCGTCTCCCAGTTCATTTCAGATTTGGAGATTCATCTGCCATATCGGGCTAAATCTCCTCCAAATCAAATTGGCTACTGAAGCTTTGCCCTAGCAGCTAGCACAGCCCTAGTGTAGGTGATTCAGTTACGTAGATTCAACACAAGTGTAAGCAGGTTAATCACTCAAGTTCCTTCTCAAGGACAGTCAGCTTTGTGTTCTGAGTTTCCAAGCAGTTTAACTTTCACGGAGCAAACCTGCCCGCACAGAAAGCAAACAACAACCAAACAGGCATGCAAACTAATAGAGAAAGAAGCCAAAATCTGTGGTCTTTCCTCACATCCTGAGGCCGTGTCCACATGAGCAGGGGCATACCTTTGAAGCAGCACCAAGAGAAGCACCACAAAATTGTGCCAGTACATTTTGTGCTGCAGTGCATGCCCCTGCCTGTCTGCTTTGCAGTGGGACACATTGTCCCACTGCTCCCTGAGCTGCAAATGTGGGGGGTCGGGGGGGAGGCACTGGCTGGGGCACAGGGTGCCTCATCAGGGGCTAGCCATCCCCTGCTGTCCTGTGCCCTGGCCAGCCAAGGAGTAACACATGGAGATGGGGGAGCAGGCATCCTCAGGCTGCCTGACTCCCCATTTCTACCTGCTGTACCACCTGTGGGGTGCAGTGTGCCTCAAGACAGGGAAGCAGGCATCCCTGGGTAGTTGCTCTCCTATTTCTGCGTGCCTCAGTGTGGGGGCTCCACTGTGGATCCCGACATGGAGCCCCCATGCTGAAGCACATGGAGACAAGGGAGCAGCCAGCCCAGGGCTGCTGCTTCCCCATCACAAGGCACACTGCACCCCAGCCAGCTGCTCCACGGCTGGCTGGGGTTCAGCATGCGTCAGCACAGTGGCTCCATGTGCCTCAGTGCAGGGGATACACAGC